TCTCTCTCTCTCTCTCTCTCTCTCTCTCTCTCTCTCTCTCTCTCTCTCTCTCTCTCTCTCTCTCTCTCTCTCTCTCTCTCTCTCGTGTGTTTGTGCAGCCCTCGGCAACTTCAATATGCACTAACTTTTTGAACATCTGGTGGGCTTTTTTTTCCCCTTCTTTTTTTTTTATGTCTACTTTCGCTGTGATGATAACATAGCTTCAAAGGGAATGCTACTGTAAGCCTGTAACAAAATTTCATCATGTACCATGTTTACATGGAAGTTGAAAGCCATGTTTCTGACCTTCAGCAGAGTGGGCAGACAGATTTAGATCTGAAATCTCATTTTTGCCCTTCGGTCATTTATCATGTCTTAACTGACCCTTAAGTGTGTGGGGTAATATCCTGGTAATGCAAGGGCATACTTACACCCACACTTCCTCTGAAGAATACAGCCATATCCGTGGCCAGGTACATGGAGAAATGCCCAAGAATGAGCCCTCCGTAAGTACTATCTGCGGCATGGATTTGATGGAGCGTGATTCGCCGTCCACCCTTGTCAGAGACTGCCAAGCAACTCAAAAAAAAAGAAAAGAAAAAAGACGAAAGAGGAAAAACGAGAGTACGAAGTAACGGACATCCAGTCTTCCATCACACCATGTACTGACTCACACGTCGACTCAGTAACCACCTGCATTGATTGACTCAGGGCGTACTCACACTAGGCACTTTTTAACTGACCTCTGGACGTAATTGCAGTCAGATGCATCCAAGAGATGTGACTGTGCCCTCACTTGCACAGACACTTATCCACTAACTCAAAGGTTTCGTAACTTCGGAACTCAAAAATTTTGTAACTTCGGCTAAGTGATGTGAATATGCCCTCGCTTTCTCAAACACACTTATTCACTCACTCGTTCAATAGCACATGCTGACCAACCGAGGAGTGTTTTCCATAAGTCACTCGTTAACTCAGCCATTAACCATTTAACTGCCTCTGTCACTAATCAACACCATCTTTAACTCTCAGAGTAACTAACTTGCTCGATCTGACTCAGCCAGTAACTAACTGCCTCACTCGGTAACTATCTGGCTCAGTAACCAAATCGCTCAGTAACTATCTGGCTCAGTAACCAAATCGCTGAGTAACTAAGTTACCACGTCGCGCCATAACTCACTTGCATGGTAACTATCTTGCGCAGTATCTATCTTGCATGGCAACTAAACTCACTGCGTAACTGACTTGCATGGCAACTATATCGCTACCTTCTGCCCCCGAATACAACGTACGGTCTTTACAGCTGTATGTGATGCATCTTTCAGTCTAGATACAGCTATAATGACAGTACGTTGTATTCGGGGGAAGAAGGTAGTAATTAAGTAACTAACTTGCATGTATCTAAGCTTGCTCAGTAACTAACTTGCATGGTTACAATCCCTCTCGGTACCTACGTCGCTCGGTAACTGACCCATTCAGTCACAAAGCCGCGCTGTCGGTAGCGAGCTCTCTAACTGGGTAGCTAAGTTTCTGAGCGAAGAGATGAAAAAAAGAAGAAGGAAAAAAAAAGAATCTCTGTGTGATTTGACTAACTTGACAGTTAAACCTCCAGTTCCCCACGGGTCCTTAGGCCCCCTCTGACAGAAAGGCATCTGGACCCGTGGGGCGCACCGATTCAGACTCCGCATTAACGCCTAAAAATGTGGTAGGTGCTGGTGGTTTAAATTAACCTGTTTCAAGAAAGAGCTGTGCTCGGCAGCGCAGGAATCAACTAGCAAAGTAAGATATGGAGTTAGCTTGCTGGCCTTGCTAACCAGCTTGTCGAGCACTTAACTCAGGTTAGTACTGGATGCTATAGCTGGCCTCACTAACCAGCTTATCAAGCAGTTAGCTAAGGTTAGTAGTACTTAGTACTGGGTGCTGTAGCTTGCCTTACTAACCGTCTTACCAAGCACTTAACCAAGGTTAGTGTTACTTAGTAATGACTGCGGTCACAGGTGGATGGTGATAAAGTTACTGCTGGATGTTGTAGCTGGCCTTTCTTATCAGCTTATCAATTACTTAACTAAGGTTAGTACTGGATGCTGTGACAGGTGGATGGTGAGGGCTGGCTGATGGAGATGCCGGCAGATGCGCTGCAGCAGATCGAAGCAGGAGGGCCTGCCAATTTGTCAGAGCTGGGTAAGGGAAATACTGGGAGAGAGAGTAGTCGCCTCTCTCTCTCGCTGAGGGCTAGAAATGGACAGTCTCGAACCCATGCATTGGGAAGTGACAACACAGCAGGAGCAGGAGCACGAGCAGGAGCAGCGGAGGCAGATCGTAGCAACAACTCCAGTCGGCAGGACGAGCCTATCCGAAGATTCCAGCCTAGTGGACTTGAGCGCTTGGTAAGTGGATGGGACAGCAAAACAGCAGAGCGGAGGACGGTCCTCACTTCTTTATCAGAGAATATTATGGCCCATGTGGAGGGACTCTGATTTCCATAGCCCCCCTCCTCTCTCCAGCCCCTCCTCCCCTAGCCGTTCTCCTCTCCCTTGCCACCTTCCTTTCCCTCCGCCCCCCTTTTCTGGTTGTTGTCAGCATCTTTAGACTTTTGTCCACTCTCCTCCAATCAGTTGTGCCTCTGAATGAACACTCGATACGAGTCGATAGTTATTTTAAACTTATTTTTTCTTTCTTTTTTTGTTATTTTTTCTTTCTTTTTTTCCTTTCTTCTTGTTCGCTTTTCTTAAGGTTTTTTTTTTTTGTTTGATTAGGCGACGAGGAGCTAGTTGGTGAGCCATATACAGCATAGTCCCCTGTGTCAGAGTTCTATCCTGCTGACAGCAAGAGGTAGGTAGTATTTACTATTTACGAAAGGCATCTGTTTTTCTTTCTTCTTTTTAATCTAAGTTATCTAACCATGCCTTTTGAAAGTTTGCTAGGACAATTTAGCTTCCGCCAGCTTGAAGCGTATTTAACAGCATGCGTGGGGCAAGGGATGGCTAAATGGATGGCTATGCTCTGCTCCACCCTTGCTTTTTGCCCTTTTCTCGTACTGTCAGTGATGCTGACTGATCCCTTTCTGTGGCAGCTCCAGTCTTCACAGAAAGTGCTTTCCCCCTCCCTCCCCACAACTTCTCCCTTTGTTCTTTTCTTTTTTTTTTTTTTGCCCCTTCAATCATATGCCAACCCTCTGATTCCTTCATCTTTCTGTGGCTGTCCAGCTGCCCACAGTTTTCACAGAGCAGTGATTAAGATTGTTATTATTACCCCACTCGAACGTGGTTGCCTTGTCCCACTTGAAGCATTCCCCTCGGAAAAAGGGGCCAACCCAGTCCCGGAATCTCTGGTCCCTTCTGCTTCCCTCAACTGCCCCTCACATATATGTCACATATAAGTGTTGGCTGTAAACAGTGTAAAGCTAATTAAACACTAATTAAACACATGCGATCAGGACTGTCGATCCGATTCCCGATTCCGGTGAGCGGCTGCTGGTACTCTGTACAGAGACCAAATTTTGTACACAGATTTTGGAAGTTGCTTCGCTTTACCTCGCTATGCCACGAGGCCACAAATGCATGATTTAACTCAGTAGGCAAGTTTTGCAATTTGAACTCTCTGTGTGTGTGTGTGTGTCTCTCTCTCTCTCTCTCTCTCTCTCTCTCTCTCTCTCTCTCTCTCTCTCTCTCTCTCTCTCTCTCTCTC